AGGCACCTTTGCCCTGCTGGGACAGTGGCACTGCCCTGGTGCAAGACCTGTACCTACCTCCCCTGCCTGCCAAAATTAGGGGTGAGCAGGCAGGAATCATCTCATCATCTTCTCAGTGACAGCTCAGACAAAGCTCAGCAGTTAGGCATAGGCTTTTGTTTGAAAAAAAAAAAAAGGCAAATTAAACCCTTTTTCTCAACACTTCTCCCTCTGGATTTCCTCTGTTATCCTATATTTCTCAAAGCTTTTTGGCTAGAGCTTGGCATTTGGGCCCTTTGCTGAATGTCAGGATATAATGAGTGCTCTTCAAATGAGGCACAGAACAAGCCTGTGCCATCAGGACACACAGATAACACCACAGGTGTTGTTTTTCTGTTGAACAAGAGTCCTGCATTTGCATAATAAGACGATACATAAACTGATGAACCTGTACAGCTTCTTCCTCAAAGAAAAAAAAAAAAACAAACCCTAAAAAAAGGCAAAAGACAATACTTTAACCACAGCTCAACCAACCCAGTGCAGAACTGAGTTGGAGCTCTTCAGCCCACTCCTCTCTCCCCTGGGGTGTGCAGGACCTGACGAGGATCCCACGCACTGGGGATGCATTTTCACTCACTTTGAGGCAGTTTTCTTTCTCAATGGCACAGAGGAGCACAGGGCAGTGAGCAGCAAGGGTAGGTGGATTTACATGGCAGATTTCCCTCCTGCAGCTGCCGGATGAGCGCGACGCAGTGCCTGAAGCACGAGTGGCTGATCAACCTCCCTGCCAAAGCCAAGCAGTCCAAGCTTCGCCTCAAGTCCCAGTTGTTGCTGCAGAGTTACATGGCCCACAGAAAATGGAAGGTAAAGAGACAAAGTCTGGCACATCTAATTCCAGAGGGAAACCAGCTCAGCACAGGCAGAGCCATTCCCTCCTCTTGTGTGTTGGCTCACGTGTGCCCACAGGCTTCTCTAGAGGAAATACGAGTTATGATGTCAATTTTCATTTGTAAATGATGGGTTTTGTCCTGCTTCTATTTTTAGCAAGTTTGGTTTCAATTTTCATTCTTTCTGATCAGTGTTTACAAATTTTACATGTTCTTTCTCTACAGCATCAGAGGCTTCAGGTGCTACTTAGCTTATATTAAATGTCCTTTCTCTTCATCCTTTATCCACTGACAACAGTTCTGTTGTCTCTGTGAAGAAGGGATACAACATAAAGCAGTTTGTGCCTCCCATTGGAGAGCAGAAGTGTGGGAGAAAGGAAAAAAAATTAGGCTTAAACCCATCCAGAGAACTCTTCAGGATCTTTCTGATAACCCCAGGCTCCTTCTGAATGAAACTTTTATGCAGAACTGATAGGTACTCATTTGTGTTGGAGTCTCTAATGGATTGTAGATAATTGATCACCTGAAAGGTGAACACAATGTTCTGGTTAGAAAGAAGCCTCTGGAAATGTGAGGCAAACTCAGTGAGGAGCATTTCATTCTCTTTTGTCCTTGGGGAGTTGCAATTCCTTGCCAAAGAGTTAAACCAGAGTGTGTAAGACACTTTTCCCAGCCCTGCACTTCAGCTGTTTGGTGGCAACTCCTGCCCTTGCATTTTAAAAACCACATAATCTAAAAACCTGTCACTGTGCAAGAACTTCACAGCACCAGCAGTCAGTTCTGCAGGAACCACTGGCACAAAGCTGTTCCACACTGCCATCCACACAAGGAATGGGTCACTAGAGGGAAATGGATTTACCAGGGAGAAGAATCCATGTCAGCTGCAGGAAAGGTCCTTTACCTCAGCTGCACTCACCCTTGGACTGTTCTGTTCTGTTCACAGAAACATTTTTATGTGGTGGCTGCTGCTAACAGGCTGAAGAGGTTTCAGAGTACATCTGTCAAGCTTGCATAAGCTTGTGTGGAACATCCACCACCCTTGGAGATGGATATGAAGCCATGGAAGAAGGACTCAGTGTCTTCAAGTAATTTCTACCTGGTTTATAACATAAGGTTTTGGGACTGTTCTCAACTATTACGTGTGTTAGTGCTAAGGTTCCAGAAGTGCCTCAAGGAAGAGGCCCTGAAATAATGATTTCTAAAAGCAGAAGCTACTTTGTTTTTACAGGTTTTCAGTTGTTCTGTATAGTGGTGGCAAAACGTGGCTGTTACTGGGGCTGACTTCTTGCTGAAGGCTTTGATTCTGCAGAGTATTGTTGGTGTGTTTGCACCAGAAAAAAATCCCTTGCCAAGTCTTCTGGTTTCTCAACCAAGCATGGGATCTCTAAAGACTTTCTTCCTGACTGGTGTATGTCAGGTATGTTAGAAGTTTTGGAGAACTGCCACGAGAGTGGCACAACTTACCCCTGTTTGTTTCTTGGAACAAAAGTTATCAGATAATCCTTTTCTTCTGAATTTCTCAAAAAGATTATTTTTCCCTCCCAACATGATGATGGGTCAGTGCAACTAGAGTTTGAATGGTTTTGGTTTGTTGTTTTAGGGTTGGGGTGTTTGTTTTTTTTTTATTCTAGTCTCTCCATGAAAAAATAGGTGCCCAGAAAGGTTTCCAAACATAGATTTATATGTACTTAAAACTTGTAAGTGCTTCTCATGGCTGTGACCGCAGCCCTTAAGTTTCTAAGTTTTAGTCTGAGGATTTCTTTCCTCCTCTCTGAAAATTGTAATGAAGTCAGAGCAGCTGACGTGGTGTGACATGCAAAATAGGTTTTATTTCCAGTAGGTTCAGTGCCAGGGAAGCAGTGTGCTGCCAGACTCTGCCTTTAGTCCAGTTAGGAGGTTGAAGCCCTTTTTTTTTTTTTCCCCCTACACTTTACTCTTGAACAATAAATGTTTTCTTCACAATACAAACTTATTTTGGATTTTAAACTCTCTTCTGATGTATAGACTGGGAGCCACTTACAGTCTCCCAGATAAAAGTGTAACATTATTTATTAAACCTGTGTTTTCCTGTTCTAGATTCTGCAAAACTCAGTGTGAGCTGGGAGGGCTCTTAAGGAAAATGGAAATGAGCACCACAAATAGTAGCTTTCCAGCAAAGGCAGCAAATCCCTGTAAAGCTCCCTGGAACTCTGTGGACTTCATGTCCCTTGAGTTAGCAAAAGTGTTGGTTGCTACTGAAGAGGTTTGTAAGACTGACTGACCCTAGTCTAGTTACCTTTCCCACTCAACTGCCTCTCACTTTGCATAGTCCTGACTTCTGCAGCATTTCCAGAATTGGGACAGAGAAGAATTATTAAAACCAACTGAAATCATCTTCATAATGTATCACCTTCTGTGAAGGCCACTTTTGTTGATGTTTTCCTTCCACAGCAGTTCTGCATGCTAGATGTGATTGTACTCCTTGGTCTGTATATTTCTGAATTGATACTAATAAATGTGATCAAAGTGGAACAAGCCTAACCCTCAGTTTTGGTTTAAAACCTTTGCAGCATCTCTGAGTGGGTCTTAAAACCAGAATGCTGACAGTGCTGGGAGGGATTCTCTCCCATCCTGAGCACTCTCATGTCACACATTGTGTCACAGCTCTTATTCCACGTGTGTTAACTACCCATTACTTTCTCTGCACCTCAGGAAGTTGTTTGGACTCTAATAGTTACTTTGCATTTCAGCACTCTAGCCTGGAGTGAAATTAGCTCTTGCTAATTAAAGTTGGTTTCAAGCAATTTCCTTTTTTTAAATTTCCTTTTTTTAATGCACTGGCAGAAGTGAAAGGAAAATAACCAGGAAGTTTGAATTTTCCAATTAGTGTGTGCTGCTTCTAAGAGGTAACACACACATGCTCTCTGCTGCCTTGCACATATTCCCTCTCCATTTTTCCACCCAGAGAAGGTGCCTCTGGCCAGCAGGAGGACTTGCTTCATTCTAATAGAAGGAAATCCTTGAGATTGAGCAGCCATCCCATGGTTCTACAGGGCACTGGGACTCACCTCTGCAGCCTTACAGGCTATTGCACCATGTCCTGTGCATTTTGCTTTGGGGTCTATAGAAAGCTCAAAGGACAAACCACAGGTGACCATTTTTTTGAAATGAAGATTTATGAAAGAGGTTACCTTCTCTGCCCAGGCAGAAATTTGCAAGACAAAATGGAACAAAGACTTGGTTTGGTTTTGTTACAGTTACGCCAGCCCTGCACTGCTAGAAATAATGATTTTCCTCCAAAAAGGAAGGCAAAGCAAACTGTTGAGTAGCTGAGATGAAATGGAACAAAGACTTGGTTTGGTTTTGTTACAGTTACGCCAGCCCTGCAAGAAATAATGATAATGATTTTCCTCCAAAAAGGAAGGGAAAGCAAACTGTAGTTTGAGCAGCTGAGATAACAGTGTAGGAGCACAGAATTTGCCTCCATGAACTCTCCCCTCCAAGCTTGTAAGTGCAAGATACAGTTATCCAGTCAAGATCCTTGTCCCCTGGATCTCTTCCTTCTCAAAGCACAGGAATCCCCTGTGTGTCTTTTACTCTGCATTCTAAGTACAACACGTGCCAAGAACACAATGCCATAACACAGAGCTTTTCCTTCCAGTACTTTTATTGTTTCTTGTGCTTTTGTCCCAAATATTCCAAGAGGCTTCATTCCCATACACATAAAAACAAGTCAAATTCAGTGACTAAACACTATTTCTTCAATGGTAAAAAAGATATTAAAAAAATATCAGTCTTAATTTCTCTGCTGGCTTTGCAGTTTAACAAGGCACCACTACTCCCTTCCCTCTTATTTCACTAACTGCTTCCAACCATGGGCCCAAGGGCATAAAACTTTTAACTGATTTATATTTAGAGTAGCATTAGAATGTTCTGTTTCTTGCAGCAAGAGAATCAAGCTATTCTACCACCTAATGCCATAACTGCTCAGGTTCCAGCCTGGTGAGTAGTCAGACAAGCTTCCTGTAAAATCACCTCCATCCTGGGGTCATTTATTTAAAATACAATTCTTTAATACTTAAAACCTCAATAAAATCAGCTGGCTACCACTCCTATGCTACTGGAACTCTTGTGAGGGCACAGGGAGAGCTGACACTAAGAGCAAGCAGCAGTTTCATTCGTGGCTGGTATTACAGAGTCAGTACTCTTGTTGGTCTCTTGTGCCTTAACAGCATTTTCTAGGATTTTCTTTTTCCATTCTTCATAGTCTTGTGTTGTTTCAGTCTTTGGCCGTTTATGTGGCATCTCCTCATCATCTTCAGAGCCTAGGAGGAGACAAAGTCCATGACAGGCAACATGTTGCTGGGAATAACTAACTATGGCAGTGAGCAGATGTCCAGACACAAGCAGGAGCTCTGTCCCTGTGTTATCCAGCCCTGGGGTTTGCTGCCCCCTCACCTCTTCACCCTTGTGTCTGAACCAGAGAGTTGTCCTTAATTCTACTAGGACTACTCAGTATGAACTCCACTGTCCTGCCAGGTTCTGTTCATCCTTGCACAGCCAGTGGTTTGCAGGATGGAGTAAGCTGCTGGGAACTTAAGCACTGTGGCCTATCACACAACTGAAACACTAAGTAGTAAAGCTCAGAACTACTCCAGAGAGGTGATTTTCATTCATAGCTGAACACAACTTACCCTCCTCCTGCTCACAGCGCTCCAGGATGGTCTGCAAGCTTTCAGGTGTCTCTGCAGCCAGTGGAACATCTTCCTCTAAAAAAGTAAGTAAGTTGCTTTACTTCTGAATGGTGGTTGGGGCCCTAAGGTTGGCCTACATGCAATTCTTTGACAGCAGTGCCACCTTCCAAAAGCACTGTGGCCTGGTCAGAGCAGTTCCCTGGTCCAGACTGATGCTCAAGCTGGACATGTAGGTGTCAGCACACTCCCAGGGTTGCATGGACTGACTGGCTGCTTTCATTAGCAGGAAAGTGCTGCTGCATTTGTAACCATAACGATCCACCTTGTTCACTGCCCAAAACCACACTGCTACCCTTCTGCTCAGGCAGGATTATCAGTTATGTCTTCCCCTTCTGTTCCACTCCATAGTTTGTGTTGCAGGTACCCACAACATGCCTAGGGCTGTGCAGGTTCACAGATGCACACTCCTCCCTAACTGGTACAGAATCTCCCAGTTGCCTTTAGTTGCTTTAGTGGAAAGGTAAGGTTTGGTTTTTTATGGGGTACTATATTATGGGAAGGTCCATGCCTAGGAGAGTGCAGCAGCTTTTGGTTTAGGTTCAGGCAGCATGTTCCAGAAACCTTCAGGATATGAAGCATGAAGAGGCAGGGTTACTCTCAGTGGGAAAGTAAGAATGAAAGCCTGGGAAAGGAAATAGAAGAGAAGTAGGAAGCAGCAGATAAGGACAGGAGGGCATGTATTGAATTTCAGTCTTTCCCCTCCACAAAAAGCAGTGGAGAGAGCTGCAGGCTCAGCAATGGGCAAGAAAGATTCCTCATGTCTGCCCACTGTGTGTGGAGGGCTAGTGTCAGGGAATGGCTGAGTGACTGCTAGAACAAGGCTTATGCTTGTTAATCCTGCAGTGGGGGAAAGGAAAGGACAAAGTGAGTCAGTCAAAGCAAGAGAGGCAGCAAGATGTTTGTTACTTCGTGTGTCATGTTGCCATGTTAACAGGATGCAGAAAGCAAGAAGGAGGAATCTGAGACAGGTCAAGGAGTATAGGAGAAGCAGGGAATAAATTGCAGCAGCAGAGACTGTAAGAGCAGTGAGCATTTCAGAAGAGAGGAAAATATTCATTTTTGTCCTTGCCACATGCTAAGCTATTGCAACTTGTCCAGAAGCAACGACCGTGACTGGGAATGGGCTGCAGGAAACATGTTGGAATGGATGGGCAGATTTGGCTGAAAGGGATCAGAATGAAATCACCAGTGGAAAAGGAGGAGGCACTGTGAGGCCACGTGATGGGTGTGCTCTCTGGCAGGGATAAAGCCAGAAACTTACTTCTGAGTTGCTGGCTGATCTTGTCCAGCTGATTGCACAGCCGGTCAAATATTGATTTTTTCACTCCAGCTGTAGCCAACATTTTGGTTTTGTCCACTTTCAGCTTCAATGACCTGTAAGAGAAAGTTGTTATTTTTGCACAAAGCAACACTCCACCAAGTATCACTCAGGTGAGGTGATAATTACTGTACTAACACTGCCTGTGAGGATGAGGAAGGCAGGCCTGAGGTTTTGTCCTACCTAGGCCTCATCTCACTCAGAAACAAATCTGCTTAAAAAACAGATCCCTACACTACTCAGTCAGTACACTTCAGGAACTGACCCTCAAGGAAAGTGTAGGTGCTTTTCAGATTTTCAGGGAACCAGGACAAAATCCCCCAACTGCCAAAAGCCAAATGGGATCTCTGTCTCAAGAGAACATTTGTCAGGAGCTGTGCAACTACACAGCACCTGTATTGCTTCATAAGGTTGTTACAAGGGCTAATGCTGAGTGAGGAAGATCTCTGCGATACAAGCAAGTTTTTGCCAAGTGCTGGTGAAGTCACACACTGAGCATCCTAGCTGATACATGCTCAGAGCTACTGGAGCCACCTCTCAGAGGACAGAGCACCCTCAGGATGTGATGGTGTAGGTCTCAGGACTTTTCTCTCTTCAGAGTGGCTGTTTCTTGGTGCTCAGAAGTAAGCCAGGAGCCACTCTTGCACCTTGAGCAGTATTTCACCAAAAGCCATGTAACTTTTTGCTTTGTGCAGTGTAGGTTGGAGCCCTCACTGTAAGGAAAGGTCTGGTCTGCTATGGCCATCTCCATTTTCAGGAGTGCAGGATGTGCTAACCAAGACCCTGAATAAATCAACTGCTCAGAGTGTAAGATTCTAAGTGTTTCTGTAAGTGTCTCCCTAGGCCTTTTGGCCTGTAGAAGATCCCCCCAGGCTATACTCACCTGCATGCAGTGAATAGTGCAGCTGTTATAAAAAGTGGTTTTGAGAAATCCAGGTCCACTTGCTGTGCTTCCAAGAGGCTGGATTCATACCTGAGGAACAGCAAGTGATTAGTGCATTTGCCTCAAACGAAGCTGCTGAATTAATCTGCCACATGGTACTCAGCAGCTTAACAGGTCTGTTGGACCACTTGGTCCTTTGCAACCCACTCAAGCAGAAATAGTTGGTAGTGGCTAAGAAGAGCAAAAGAGATTAGGGAAAAGAAGGGGATTGGGATGATAGCTCTTTCTGGATAAAAGGTACTTTGAACTGGGGATCTGGATCAAGGCATGTCAGTAAAATCTATTCCTTGTGCTCCCCATCCACACACTTGTAGCTCTACATGACATCTAAAAATGACAACAAGATGCTTTACATAAATCCATCCTACAATAGAGAGTAGCATTATAGTTCCTCTGATTCCTCTAATATATATGTTACACAGATGAAGGCTGAAACATGGAAAATGACACAGTGGATGTGCAGCACTGAAGAATTTAATTTTTTATTGTCCACCTGTCCCCAGGCTGTTTTTTTTCAGTTTGTATTAAGCACCAACAAGCATGCACAGCCCTTGTTCACTGACCTAGCACATTTGAACATGTGCTCTCAGGGTGACAGCTCTGCAGCACAGAGCTCTTCAGGGATTGCTTTGGGTGAAGCAGATGATACAGAAGGGAAGATTTTAAATTTGTTGAATCTCCATTGAAGTGTTCTACCTATTGATTTTACAGGTAGAGTAATGTACATTTTAAGAGATCTGTGTCTCCAGAGGGGAGGATTTATTTCTGCTGAGCATCACTTCTGAACTGTGCCATGATCAGCAGTTAAATGCACAGTGTGATGCTATGGACAATACAGGGACTAAGGCACCTATACTTTTTTACACTATTCTCAGCTGAAAAAACGTAGTGAGAAAATAACTTACTGAGATTCACAGACTAAGTCTTTCTAACAAGTGGCCTAGATTGGATTGTCAGTGCCAAGAACTTGCCTCACTGCTCCAGTCAGTGGGAGATCTCTGATCCTACCAAACACCAAGCTCTTTACACAGGTGATGAACAAAGAATCTCACTAGTGGTTTCCAGTGTGCCCACGAGAGCCTCCTCACCTCTGCAGTAGTTCTGAAGCCATATTCACTGCCTCTGTGCAGCCAAACTGCACAGCCAAGTCCCTCATGCCCAGTCTGGGGTTCACCTCGAGGAGACACTCCAAGGACTTCATGGAGCTCTGGTAGGTAGTCTTGTTCAGACCAGAGAGTTTAATGCAATAGCTCTTTGGAGGAGACAGACAAAAGAATTAGCAAAGATTCCTTCCCAACATCTTCATCAGGCAACCAACACAGCTCCATAAAGTTCAGTTGCTACCTCAAACAAATTTGTGCCATGAATAATGTATGCTTTGACTGCACACAGGAAGATTAACCACTAGGAACACCACATCTTTTAATGCAGTGTTATTTTTAGACCATTTCACTGGAAGTGAGGTTTGATGTTTCCATACAATATGACAATATCACAGGGTGGTTGAAAACAAAAATTACCAAAATCTGAGCAATTTGAAGACATGAGCAACACCTTTACACTGTCAGGTCCAATTAAATTCTCCTCCGTCTGTAAATGGAAAATCATGAACATCTTGTGCCAGGCATTGTTTTGGCAGTTCAATGCATTTCCCTGGCAAGTTTGCAGATGGAGGTTTACAGGTACTGCTATGAGAGATTCCTTGGAGCCACTGCTTCCTCCCCCAGGAAAAGGGACAGATCTTGAATTTAACATCCTTGCTGGTAATTTATTTGCTACTAAACGAGCTGAAATTATACCACAGCAAGTTCAATGTGTGAATTGGCTACGACACTGATCTCAATTTGCCTCGTTTCAAACTCAGAACAGTGAAAACTCTTACACTGTGTGTAGCAGCACTCTGCAGGGCCTAGGGTAAAGCCAGTAATAACTGAAATATCCCTTTCCTGCTCCCAACACACACCACACAGAACAACGATTTCAGTGCACTCGTGCAGAACACACCACTCAGCCAAGTCAGACACTGCATCTTACTCTGTCAACTGGTTGTTTCATGAAACTGGCTGCCAGGTCCAGGCACATCACAGCGATGCTTGTCGCCGTCATCTGAGCCATCAACCCCGTGCATTTCACCTGGGAGAGCCGCAGGTACTCCTCAGCTTTTCTGCAAAACACCCAGAACACAAGGTTAACAAAAGCACAGGTACAGGACAGCAGGCAGGACACTGCTCCCAGGCAGTGCAGTACTCACTCAGAGACAGGAGTGTCACAGGGAGTACCAACCTGTGCTGCATCGCTCGTTTTGGTTTGTTGGTTTTTCTCCCCCTTTCGCTTTTTTATTATTTATCCCATTCTGCTCTTTGTTATTAAACTGTTCTTATCTCAACCTACATATTTTAGTCGATTTTCTCCTCCCCATTCCTCCAGGTTGGAAGGGGGGAGGAGGGAGTGTGAGTGGTTGTGTGGTTCTCCTGGGAGTGGGACAGTGTCAGTGTGTGGTAACACCATGTCCTGAGCCCAATCTGCAGGCCCTGCCCCAGCTCCAGCCCCTGTCCTGACCCCAGCACCAGTCCCATCCCTTGCCCAGTTCCAATCCCCTGCCCCAGCCCAATCCCCTGCCCCAGCAGTAGCTTCAACAGCAGACCCAACACCTGCACCAGCATCAACACCTGCACCAACACCAGCACCAGCCAATGCCTAATTTCAATCTCCTGCCCCAGCCCAATTCCAATTCTCTGTCCCAGCCCAATCACCAGCCCCAGCCCCTGCCCAGGTCTGATCCCCTGTCCT